TGGGAGGCCACGGGGTTCCGCGAGCGCGCGAAGGCGCTCATGAGCGGCAGCGCGCCGGGCCGGTGGTTCCGGGGCCTGCGAGAGGGAGGTGGGTCAGGGCGGCGCCCCAGCCAGGCGCCCGCGCGCTCACTGCCTCTTCCGCAGACACTCACCAGTCCTCAGGATCGCAATCTCGGAAGCCTTTGGCGAACGGGTTGCTGGCAATCTTGAGCTGCGTGATCTGCAGGGAAGGGGGCGTGAGCAAGCGGCTCAAGCCCCACAGCCCGGGGCTACCCGACCTCGGCAGAGGATAGGGGGGTGTTAGGAGGGGCTCGCCCAGGAAGGGCGTCTGCGTCGTGGACAAGAACCAGCCCACATCTGCCCCCTCCCCAACGGAGGTTGTGCCTCCCTCCTGTAGCTGGGGGTCTGGGGACCCCCCTCTCTCACTAGGTCCTCCTCTTTGCCACCCCAAGTGAAAAGGGATAGACACCCTGAGCCCCTGGCTGGGATGGGAATATGTTCACCTCCACCCCCCACTGCAGTGGTGGGAGCAGAGCGGGCGCCCTAGGAATCTGGGTAAACCTCGGATCAGGCCCCTGATGGGGAGTTTCCGGAATGGTTTGGAAAACAAACTTTAAGGCCGCAGTGACAGTTGCTGCTAGAGAGGTCAAGCTGATAGGAGGCTAGGCCAGCCTGCCACAGGAGGAAGAGGGCAGCTTGAGGCCTTTGGGGGTGGGGCTCCAGTTGGGTTGTGCTCCACTGGGACCCACAGCCAGCGGATCCAAGCTGTCTGTTGCACCCCCACTCCCAGAAGTGTGAATCTGCCCGTCCCCAGGGCCTGGACACAGGCCCCCTCACCCGGTGGTTCTGGTAAGCAGTGACCGCGGTGAAACGTGTCTCCTCGAACACAAAGGTTTTGAAGTTCTCCTCAGCATATTTCTCGCTATCTTTGCGAGGGTCTACATAAACGACGTGGAAGCGGGGCTGGTATCTGTGCATGGAGTTGAGAATAATCTGGAAGACAAGGCAGGGGGATCAGCTCCAGCGGTGGGGTTGAGCTGAGCTGAGGATCCCGGGTTGGAGTCAGGAAACGGGCTGAGGTCTGAGTAGGCAATCAAGTTCCTAGATAACTTGGGCAAAACCCTTAATTCCCGAGATGAGGCTGGGCCTTGGGGCCTGAGTAGAGGCTGCAACCCATTGAGGGCCGCTGGAAAAGACGTTACAAATGACAAAAGACCGATTGAGGTTTACATTCTCGTTTTTTAGATCCCCAACAATTGCTTTAGGGCCTGCAGGGGGTGGTCGCTTCAGGGAGGAGCTCAGCCTGGCGGAAAAGCAGCCTCACTGGCCTGGATTCCACAAAACCTCCCGCCTCCATCCCTCTTGCACAGCCCCATCCTTGCCAGTTAAAAAGCCTCTCGAATAAGATCAGGAGTTGGGTAAGGGAAGGAGAGTTACCCCCTCTCCCAGGCCCAAGGCCCACTAGGCCATGTGAGACCCTGACCGGAAGCCCTCTGTGCTTGGCCCGTCCCTCATCTGCACTCTGTGCTGCCCGAGTTCTGTCTCTGCTTGGCAGGGACACTCCAGAGGGCCTGCAATGGGGATAGCCCGGGAGCTTGGGGACAGGGGTCGCTCACGTGGCCGTTGTCATCTAGCAGGTTGTTGGTCAGCTTGAGCTTGTCGAAGGACACGATTTGTTTCATCCACTGTGCACCCTTGGCAGGCGAGTCAGGGTGGTAGTGCACACGGCCCGGCGTGGCAGGGTCTGCCTTCCCGGCCACCAGCCAGGAGGAGCTGTGGAAGGCGTACCTGGAGCAGCATGGGGTTGGAGGGTCACGACGGGTTGGGGTGAAACGAGAGGGCCTTGCCCCATGTGCCGGGTGAACCCCAAAAGTGCCTTGAGGAGTCTCCCCACTCGTGAAATTGAGCCCTCTGATATCACACAGGCTGGGAGTTTTTCTGAGGGAATTGTGGTTAAAACAGGAAATTCCCACCTGCCCCTGATACACAAAGCAAGCAGGAACCGGGCACCCCACGGGACGCCAAGGGAAAAAGCCAGGCTCTTCTCATTTCGCTGCACCCGGGTCCACCCTATGCAGACGCGGAGGGAGCCGATGCAGATTTGGCTTTGCCAGTGGCCTCAGGCGCAGGGCAGTCCACGTTTGCTTTATTAATTGCTGTTAATTGTCCGGGTGACTGAGGCCCGCCCTACATAATCTCTGCCGGCCACCCCACCTTTCCGGCCCAGCTCTGGGACCCAGTGTTCTCTGGGGATGGGGGGAGGGGACAAGGTGCCTATGCTTGCCTCCTGGGAGAGACCCCCAAAAAATAGGCTGGGGGCTGTGTGCTTGGCCCACCCGCCGCCTCAGGCCAAACCGGCCCAGGGGCATCAGAGCTGTCTCCGATCTGCAGCTCAAGGGCTCCCAACCTCCTCAGGCCGTTCAGAGAGTGAGAGAGCGTGGGGTGGGGTGTGAAAAAAATAAGCTGGGGGCTGTGTGCTTGGCCCACCCGCCGCCTCAGGCCAAACCGGCCCAGGGGCATCAGAGCTGTCTCCAATCTGCTGCTCAAGGGCTCCCAACCTCCTCAGGCCGTTCAGAGAGTGAGAGAGCGTGGGGTGGGGTGTGTGGGTCTGGGGTACAATGGGGACAGGGGAGGGAGCAGGGCAGATGGCACAGGTGCCTGGGATGACCCAGTCACTAAAGAGTTTCATGGGTGGGTGGCCCTTGGAGTTGGTCACCAGGCAGGGACCAGCCACTTCCCTAGGTACCCTCCCAGGTCCTGTGCACACATGGCCCCAGTGGCCCTACAGGCTCACTCACCGGTAGCGCTTGTCGTCCACCGGCACGAAGTCCATGAGCAGCATGTAGTCGGCCATAGGGTCCATGCCAAAGAGCTTCACTTGGAACGTGGGGAACATTCGCCTGGGGGTAGTGAGGCCTTGTGTCACCTCAGATGGGGAGGGCAGGGCCGCTCCATCTTGACCCATTGGGGACTGGGGGTCCCTCCACTCGGCCCTTTCCTCTGGTGCATTACTGTATTCAGCCCAGACTTGCAGTCCCATCTCCCCTTGCTTAGCTGCCCTAACTGCGGTAGTTCCCTACTCAACCACAGGCAAGTGAAGCGGCAGGGCAGCACCCTGGGCCCTTTTCTGAAACACAGAATGGCTAACCCAGAGCTAGAACCAAGCCTCGGAGCCCCAACCTTCTTCCACCACCTCTGGCTGCAGAGACCAAGCCTTGCCCTTGCTGATTCCTCAGCCTCTCGGACCTAGCCTCTGCCAGCAGCAGGGAGCCTAAGATCCAGTCCCGGAGCTTCTCTGCCCTGCCTGAGCCTCCCTAGCTCGATCTAAGCCGCTCCCGGCTCCAACAAAGTGAAACCGGGTAGCCTGTGTAATTCCGAGGAGTCCCCGTTGCCCCTTCTGCTCGGTCTGCGACTGTTCTCCAGTCCCCCCAGCGAGGCCAAGGTTTCGGAGCCCATAATCCCCGACTCTCAAGCCCTGGCCCCATGCTGGAGTCTCCCCACCTTCTTCGGGGACATAGGCAAGTTCCCGCTCCCTGCGAGACACATAACCCCGAGATGCAGCTGCCCAAGGTGGACTTGGCTTACGTCTTCACGGTTCCCCAAATCTCCCCTCCTCTGGACCCTGACTTGGTGACGGATCAGGGCCCATCCCTTGGCCAGCCCTCGCCTAACGGCACAGCAGTTCAGGTCCCTGGGCTCTGGAGGACAGCGTGCAGCTTGGCCCCCTCTTGCCCTTCCCACCGTCTCGCCTCACAGGCAATGCCCGGCAGGCGGTGGGCAGAAAACAGATGCCAGGAGCCAGTCCTCTGATCCAGGCCTCCTGCCACTGCCACCCAAAGCCACTGCAGGCCGGAGGGTGCTGCAGAATGTCGGCTCCTGAGGTGAAGCCCGGCTGCCACCAAGGCCCTTGCTGGGCTGGCCTGGGCAGGAGGTCGGGCCGCTGTCCTCAGGAGGGCCCATGTGCCTGGGAACAGCAAGGAGAGTTTGGAGAAAACTCACGGAGCTGGGGCCGAGCACAGGCCCCAGTCTCCCTGGGGAGGACGGCCGCAGCAAGGAAACAGAAACCGCAACAAGATTTTGCAAACAGGCCCTGGGCTCCCCTTGGCTGTGTGGACACGGAGCTGGTGTGTACATTAGACACAGCCCAGCACCCGCCTTTGTCTGCTGGTCAAATCGGATGCATCTGCAAAACTTGTTCCCCTTCTCTCTGGGCCCTTAAAACAAATACAGGCCAATTGGAAGGTGGCAGGCGCGTTTGCGGCACAGCCAGGCCCCCCAACCACACGAAATTTAGGCCGAGCAAAACTGGGTAGCAACTCCAGTGAACAGAGCACACTGTTTTTAAGGATCTTAATTCTCTCCTCAAATTTTCCAGGCAATTGCTCGACTGCTGCTCTTTCGGAAACCCAAACCAGAGTTTCTTTTGAAGTGGGATCCACCGGGAGCCGGCAGGGCAGCGAGGCCTGTCGGACTGGGTTCGCTCCGAGCCGGCTTCTGCTTCCCAGCCGCTCAGCGTCCTGGGGCTGCGGGCTGGCGGGCCGGTCCCGCGGGGCTTCTCTCCGCCCGCCTTCTCCAGTCGCCTTGCCGCCCGTGCCGTCCCCTCCCAGCCCGGCGCGCCGGGCGGCTGTCGCCGGAGCCGGGACCGCGGAGAACCAAAGAGGCGGCAGGGCCGAGAAGGGTCTGCAGGTGGCCGGGCCGCGCCCCCCACCCGGCTTCTCGGCCCCACTCGCTCGGAGCCGACCAAGGCGCGCGGCGCGAGAGCTGCAGCACGTGGGGAGGGTCGCGGCGCGGGGAGGGGCGCCCTGACCTGCCGGCCTTGGTGACGATCATCTCGGTGCCCAGCTGATTGAACTCGTCCCACAGCGCCTTCATCTCCAGCTGCACGCTCACGCTGGCCACCTTTGCGTTCTTCTT